AGAGGGGTGGATGGGAGAGAGAGATAGTGGGATTTAGAAAATGCGCGGCGATGTGCGTGCCGTGATTCTACCCCAAAAGGATGAAATTGGCTCAAATGCACCGCTGGAGAGAAAGAGTTAATTTTAATTAAATCTTTTCAGTCAGGGGGTATACCTTAGGAGCTATTCAGGATAAAGGGCTATAAATAATGAAATTTTCCAGGGATATATCCTTATAGAAACACAAATCGCATTTATATGGGGGTAGAAAAAGAGAAACTGTGTATGGTTTAGGAAACCTGAGCTTATGTCAATCTCACAACGAAATCTTCCAGTTCTAGCGTTGTCATATGTTTTCAAATAAAACTGCTAAAGTAGCCTTTTGCCTTTAGTCATGAATATAGGCGAGGTAAAATACAAGGTTTCATTTTTCACTAGCGCTAGCATTTTTTGCAATTTTTTAAAAGTTCTTTTGATAGTTTGAAAAATGTTTTTCATCATACCATACAATGAGGAAGGCGAAAAAAGTTGATTTTAACTTCTGACAAGGAAAGAAAATTGGCTTAAAATAGGAAATAAGAAAGCCTTAGGAGATGACTTGTGGTGTGCGGCTAGTTGTCATTTCGATCGTGCCCAATAAATAATAACACCACTGCTAAGTTTCGCAATGGAATGTTTTGGCGAAAATATTATTTTTTCCACATGAAGGATACAGTTTTGGGGAAGAAAGTTGGAGCATCTGCTTTTTCATAAAACCTAGTTTTTACCTCGAAAGCTTAAGAGCACAATATTTTTAATTCGTTTCACTTGGCTGTCTACTACTTATTTTCATCCTGCTTGATAGTTTTTGGCTTTAAAAAGCGTAAGCATAGCAAAAATCGGGTTTTAAATTTATATCCATGCTAATTGTCCTAAAATTTCAGCATTTTCTTTCGTGACAGCAGTAAAATTGACAGAAAAATGGGGACCACTCTTATAAGTATAAGTTTTGTTGGTTTCAAAGGTAGCATTAAGAGACTCCTCTAAAGATGGCAGAAGTAGAAGGAAGCTGAAGCCTACCGGCAAACCTCGGAGGCCATGCGGCCCGGCAAATGTACACTTGCCGAGCCCTAAGTGTCCTCAAAACCAAAACAAAGAGTTAAAAAACAAAGCATTAAATCGTTTTGTAATGCATTTGAAAGTACAATCACGACCATATTTTTAGCAAAGTTCTGTACATACTATATTTAGTTATAATCGAAACGAAAATATTAAAATAAAATAACAGAATGATTAACAATGAATGATAATTTGAATTTGTTCAAGAAAAAAAGGCTTTTCAATATTTGATATTTTAAGTACTGGACCAAAATTTAAATTATTATGTGCCAGGAGTGAACAACCAAGAGTAATATCATTTTAAGAGTGGTTGAAATAGTCTGAGTGTTTACGTGGAATCGTTGAGCCAAAAAACCCCGGTCAAATGCATAAACACGTCAGAGGCACCTCGGTATTCATTGTTTATCCGACAATGACACGTTCACGTGTTTAAAGGTCCCAGTCAAACAAATCTCAGCAACGTCGGAAGATGGCCTGGACCATGACCATATGGCTATCAAAAAAAAGGAGGAAGGCTGGAAGCATGAAAGGCATGACTGGATACACTCACAATCAGTGTAAACACCACAATGAAGTAAAATAAGTTGGTTTTACACTTGAACTATTTGTCTGCATTGAAATGTTCCCATTTGACATGGAATCCTCTAAAATTCCCTGCAGATTAGTTGAATATGGCACCTGATTGAGTATTTCTGTAAAGTTGAAAAGATTTTTTCTATTTGCAAAAGCCTGCATTTTGTTTTGATTTTTTAATTTATCAGTGTAACTAAGACATCAAATATGCCTTTTTACTCCTATAATAATGAAAGAACGGTCATTTATTTGCCGGGAAAACTGCTTTTACACTGAGCAACAAAGCATTGCAAATGAATTATGAATGAGGCCGTTAAAATTACAAGTATCTCAGACAACTAAGATGGATTACTAATTTATTCACTAGTTAAAAAAATATGCCTGCTGCTTGGGGTACACAATAAAACTCCCTTAAACTCTCTTGGGCTACCCTAAAAGAGAATTGTAGGCCAGATCAGCACTTTGAGTGCCTAGAAGAAAAGAAAGCATTTAATAGATTGTAGACCCGGACTGCTTTTCTACCTGATTTTCTGTTGCTAAATTTACACAAGTTTCCTCCCAAAGATTGACCAATAGCCAAAGATCCGCTTTTGCGTGGAGAGAGTAGCTGACCTAACTTCATTATCGGTGTTGAAAAACTAGCGTCTGAGGTACGCTTCTATAGATCCGAGTTTCACCATTTCCATCGACGCAATCTTAAAAGCTCTATTTTTCCTTAGTAAACGGCTTTTTTAACACAGTGCAGCAGCTAAATTAACTTAGCTGATCAAAAACAGAAAGAATTCGTAGTTCACTTGGTGTGCTAACCTTTCAACATTAAACAGTGTCATAATGGACAAATTTCTCTTGTGTGATTTCACGGTTGCTCGTGCGTCATTTATTAAGACAACTATTCAATTTCACACTAAGGTGGTCAAAGCATACGTCAAAATTAACAGCGAAACGCCACTACAGCAGGCTTTATCTTTCTGGCAACCAACCGTTACTTCTAAAACCTTTTTACCGCCAATGCATACAAGCTATCTGTCCAACGACCCGTGCTGTTTGAATATTACCCCAAAATACTGTCCCCAAAAAGAGGAATAAACAAGGAGATTAATATAAATGTTTAAATATTCTGTTACAATTATTTTGAAATAAAGGGATCCTGTTTTTATTTAATGTTAAAAATGTGCAAAATTCAGCAGTTTTGCCGTTAATTAAACATCGCCCCAGCAGCCTTTTAAGAAACTTTTTAGCCTCATAAAACGCCTCACAAAACGGCGCAAAAAAACTAAGAGGCGATAAACAGAGGAGAAGGAAGATGAGGATTAGGGCTTTTTTCTTTTACTCCGGTACACACAAATGAAGACTGATTTGCGTGCCAGTGCCAGAGCTAGCGCCACAGCTATATCAGACTTTTTTGCTTCTTCTCACTCTTGTTTTCGTTATTATCGTCGTAGTCGTGTCGCTCGGTCATGCCCCGACAACAATTATCTTCATTTCAGCCTCGACAGCTGTGCATTTTGGGCTGTGAGGTGACTTTTTTCCATCGCACCACTCCATCTCCTTCCACATTTCCGTCCCTGACAGGCGTCATTAATCACAATGGGAGGGAATTCTCGCTTGGCAATTTCCATTGCTACGCCTGACGGGGAAAAGAAACAGTAGGAAATAAATAAGGTAAGTTGAATGGTAATGTGTCAGTCGAGAAGGAACTGGATCAAGCAGTCGACGTCTTACAATTGGTTGTTTTTCCCATTTTTATAGCAGATTTTTCATTCGAACTACTTGTCGACGAACTGAGAAAGGGGACTTTAGACACCTTTTAAAATTTACTCGGGGAGTAACTTTTGAAGAAAAAAGGTTCGTATATTGTGACCATCATTAAAGTAGAGTTGACCGTGATCTGGAATGTGCGGAAGGCGGATAACTGAAGTTCTTTTGAAAAAGGTAAGGTATTCATAAATGTGTTGGATATTTCTTTTAGGGCACCCAAAACGTGCCTTATAAAGGTGCGTTTCTTCCCATCCTTTCACTTCAAAAGCTGCCTCTAGAAAGTTTTTACTCTCGCAATGACCAGTTTGAATCCTCCACAGTGCATGGTACTCTGCCGATGCTGAAGGATTAATGTCGCTCTACAAATAAAAAAATTAACCTATGCTTACAAATTGAAATTTGCAAAAGGAAGTGCAAACGATTTACGCTATAATCCGCTAAGGAGGTATATCAAAGATGAAATAAAATGCACAGGAAATGAGTTTCTTATATGTTTGCTAATGAAACTGGCATAGGATTTAGACACAAATGACCAGTACCATAAAATGAAATGTGTTTAGAACCAAAATCTGCTTAATATTCAAAATCTACGCTGGTTTAAAATTGATAAACAAATTGGCGAGATAAAACTTAGACCAGTATGGGTGCCGAGTAGTAATTCCTACTGAGGCACCACTTCTTTTCTGTAATGAGACAAAGTGCGAAATTCCTTTGATTATACCAAATAAAGAAAGGAACCGGAGATTACATCCAATTCCTTTTACAAATCAAATGGTAGAATTTCCTTTATTATTATTTTCCTTGCACTTAAAGCTAATAAAATGTCTTCCTGTACAAAATATTTCGATGCTTCGATTCACAAAATAAACCTTTTCCACGAAATAAATAATCCTCACACATTCCCATATTATATTTAAAATGAATCTGAGAGAAAAATAGGTAGATACGCATTAAGTAAAAAGAAAAAAACGATTGCCTACCTATGTGATGTCATTTGTTGACATTAGTCAAAGTCATCCCTAAATTCAATTAGTTTTTAACATTTTGTGTTGAAATTTTTAAAAAAGATCCTTTGCAGCAGAGCCTTCACATTAGGCGTGCCTGGACATAAAATACACATTTAAAAGGATAAAAGTGAGAAGGACAATTTATACAACATCCAATTTCAAATCAGTGCATAGAATCATGCATCATGGGTCCATCTTTAGCAGCCGCCACTAAGAGAGCATTGCAATTTAACAAGGGAGGTGAAGGACCTGTCTTCTAATAATTTTTACGATGTTAATCTCTGAGTTTATCAATCAACTTTTCCCTTTCCTTAATACGGAAAGTTGCTGCCCCCTTTTTTAACTCTGCACTGATATGATGGCATCGCCTTTTTTCTGTTCATCCATACCCTGATAAAAGCAGTGTAACAAAAAGGGCTTTAAAAAATGCCTGTAGCTGGAAGATATCAATCACGCCTACAGATAAACATTTCTCTCCCTTCTCAAGTGCGTGCATGTACCAGTTCGTGCTATTCACCTTTTTTGCATACAAAAGGACACAGAGCCAAAGATTACACCAAAAGTTGTTTGTAAATTAAGTTGTAGAGGCATCTTGAATTAAAGCACTTTTTCATTTCGTTAGGTGACACTTACTCTGTGTATAAATTAAATTAATGAAGCCTAAATAGGAAATCTTCTGTAGGACGACACGCTGTGTATTATGCTCACGTCGCTAATGTCCAAAATAATAAAGTATGGACGAGCGAAGTAGCAAATCGCGCAAGATATACAATTATTCAAGCATAAACAGTAAACAGATTTCCACGTAGTAAAGAATATTTTCCGTAAGGCTGTACAGCAGCCATCCATAATTCAGTCCCTACGATAAAGCCAAGCCACTAAACTACTAAACATTATTGTCTCTCGGTCCCTCCCATGCGCCAGATTGCGGTAGTGGTACGCGCCTGACACCCTTTGAACTACTAAGAGGGATGATACTTGTGCCATCCTAGGTAAAATTGTCCAAAAACTGAGAGTAGTTTTGACATTCTCTCAAAGCTAAAAAAGAAACCTACTGTAGAAAGGCAAAAAAGCTTTTTAAATGTCGTATACCTTTTGGGCATAATTTTTCTTAACCACTCATTTCATTTCACTATGATAAGTCTCCGGAATTTTACAATTCATATAATAATTTGCACTTTTTTTTAATTTTGAATGAACCAGAGTTTAATGAGAAGTCTTCGTCTACAAAACTGTCCATCCGTTGTCGTTTTTTCCCTAGGCTCGATAAAAATGAGCTGATAGTAAAAACCTACCTCCGCATCCTAAAATGCCGACTTATTCTGAGAAAACTTCACACTTGATCACGATCACACTCTTTTAGCCGTAGGAACGTGAGGGGGAAAGAGTAAGGGGGGGTTAGCTTTTCATTGGCGCCAAGGCACCTCAGTTTTTTGCTTCGTGGTAGTCGGCAAATCTTGGCCTGACTTAACGCCCTCCCTTTAAAAAAACACGTCAGAGAGAGCCGGAGCACATACACATAAGCTGAAATTATCTTCTCTAATCTGAAATTTTATCCTCTGCCATATCACATAGGTGTGAGTCAATGGGGAAAAAACCATTTTATCACATTTGCTTTCTCATCAAGTGAATTTGTCTAAACAGTCCAGATTACCACTTCGAATTGTTAGTCAAAAAGTGAGAGAACTTTGAGTTCCAAACGACAACTGCAAAGATTTTTATAAGGCTGAAATAAAATAAAAATATCTGATTAATTGACACAATCGTGGTGCTCTTAGTCAATGTAAATGAAGATTTACTATTAAAATACATCTAGATGGACACCACACAACCATAGAGACTTATGCGACTGCCTTCGCAATCTTGCCACTGTGGTTGGCTAATTCTTTAAAATAGTTCATTTAGGTAAAACACTGGTATTCTAAGGTCGATTCGGAAACATCAAATCTGGAATTAAAATCCTGGCTGTGCCACAGGCACAACGTTGTTCTCATAGCTTTCATTGTCATTCACAGTTACTCGGAGAAGATTGTCAAGCCCTGAATTTTAAGCATCGTGTGATTCTGAAGATTTTTGACTTTTCTCCCACTGTTGGCATAATTTCTTTACAATTTGTCAAGTACGCTTAACTTTCATTGTAGTAGATATTTGATTGAATGCCTTTTTGTCCGAATGTTGCCTCACAACTTGCATAAGCGACAGATTCAACAGCAGAGCAAAAATTTGAGGAATACAAACATCCTCAAAAGATGGGCATTCTACACATTTTTACTGTTTTTAACTCGGTCACCCGGTCCGTACTACAATGGGCTACGCTTGACTACCATTAACTGGTAAAGGGAACATAATTTCACAAATTTATGGCACCACAAGCATGCGATGTTAAAAGAAAATGCGTCAATCCCAGTTTTCTCGTCTTCACACAAGCCGTAGGTTGACAACTTGTAATATAAAAAGTCCTAAGGTACCTTAAATTGCTTCTTATCCTTGTCTTTTATATAGGAAATTAAACAACAAAGGTTTAAATACGCTTCAAGTTTTGGTTGAAGCGTGTATCTCTGAAGAATAAAAAGTTTAAGCAAGAATACTGTAATTTATATATGTTAAATCCTAAAGCTTATTGAGTCATTTGACAATAATTTAAATGTCAATTAAATTAAGATAGTCAAAACAAGCTTCCTAAATAAAAGCAGGATACAATACCTCAATAACATACTCGGTATCGTTAAACTTCCTAATTACCGTAATCCCTACACCGAGGTTTTAAGCAAAAGACTCTCGGATCGCATTCTCTTAGTTCCCCCAAAAAATAGATCCTTTTAAGTTGGCTGGAGAATTTTGCCGCGCTAACTCTCACACACTCACTCTTCATTCTCTGAAAGAATTGTCAAGACAAGGAAAAACTTCCCTCCTCCATTGCAATGATCCCTCTTTTTTCAAAATCCGCGGCACTTCTTTTAACTACAGCGAAGCGTAATCACGCAGGCAAGAATTGGAGGGAGTCGTAACAAACTTTTTTAGTCTTCCCTTCTCACGCAATTCTCTTTTAGTACCCGAAGCGGAAGGATTTTGGTCTCTAAATTGAATCGGCGATGAAGTACCTGTTGCATGTTAGAGCTCTAAAAAGTGTTTTCTTTTCGCCTCTCTCGATAAAATTTACTTGATTAATGGCCTTCTGTCTTTGCAGTTGAGCGTAGATTAATTTGAAATCGGCCGTGCCCTTTGTACGCTGAAGCTTGGTAGCCGGAAGCTTCATGATATAAGAAAATAAATGAACTTTCATAAATCTCAAATTGCAAAAGCTAATCAGTATTCCCAGGTACATCGAATAAATGTTGTGTTTACCATTTGCAGGTTCCTCCTGTCTCTGTTACCTAAATCGAGTTGTTTCAAAATTAATGACAGCTTCTGTCTTGACCAATTTGGATAGCCCAGAATACTTGCCTTCATTGCTGTTCATTTGTTCTTGGGAAGTATATACCACGTAAATTACTTGAAGAGACGAGAGAGCAGTGTGATCTGACTTTATAAGTACTCAAGAGAGGGTTTTTAGTCAGCATTAGTTGCAAGTTAAAAGGGAACCACAAAAAATGCTCTATCAGCTTTAAAGTTCAAGTATTATTTAAAATCGAAAACAGTATCTCCTAGTCAAACTTTGAAGTAAATTGTAAATATAAGGACATTTTCTTATCTATGGTTAAGTTGGTAGTCAAAAATAGAACAAGAGGTACCGATTTCGCTAAATCTTTGTATTAAATGGGACGTAAACGGACACTAACCATCCATTTTGAGGATTTTGTAGTTTGTAGTTTGAGCATGGAGATCAAGTCATTTATCAAACCTATAATTGTACCCAACCCTAACTCACTAAGGCAGTAAGGTTTATCTTGCAAAGGCAAATTTCTGGATGTGCATTTGGGAGAAAACTTTCCTCCTGACTACGGACAAAACTGCCCAAGGTCTAGTAGGTTTTACGAACAGGGGAAAAACTGTGAATCCTACCTTGACAGGTGTTGTCGTAGTACGGGCCTACAAAAGACCTTTTCAGACAGCTTTTTACTTTGTTAATCTGCAACAGTTTTTTTGCAAAAAAGGCGACAACTCCAAGCAACATTTTTCCCTACAATAAAATACAGAAATTTAGAGAACATTTTAAATTTCCAGGTAAATGAAAGTAAAAGAATGTCATTTCACTGGTGACTTAAACTTAAAAACTCCCTCAAAATAATAAAGCATTGCAAATATTTTTCATCAAGGATACCGAAAAATTACAGGAACTGAAGTAATTTTCTTCGAAATATAAATAGACGCCAAAGGAAAGCGATATTTCATGCCCAAAAGTTTTTGTTTAGACCACATGTGGAATGGTTCACTTGCGAATAATAAAGCTAAAGTGCGAGAATCCGCAAAGTTTTTACTTATTTGGTGCTGTGATATTTTGAAACTTAATGCTTGTAAACTTCACGTATCTAGTCTTAGGGATGCGCCCTTCGGATTTCGAGTAAAATTCATGTAAGCCATTTTTTCCAGAACTCGACTGAGGTGTTGCCCCAAGATTCTACTTGATGCTCTACCTGTGGTAAAGTTACAAGCGTAGAATGTGGGCAAATGACATACAAGAGCAGTAATATATATTAATTTTTTATTGAGCTCTAGAAGTGACCGACCTGTTACCCACTAAAGGTGTTATGACACTGAATTTTCTAAACATTTGCATTGGAAAGACGACAACAATAACTGCTAAATAGGGTTGGTCTGAAGCGGCTGATAAGGTTTTATATTAATTAAAATGAAGCAGGCAATGAAAACTTCCTAATCTCAAGCGAAATCTTTAGGAAAGTGGGTCCTACTAAGAAGTAAATAGCCCATTTTCAAGTTATATGTTTTATATTTTCTTTCCCTAGATTTTTTCTGATAAAATGAGCATTTATCACCCGGTTAAATCGCAGATTTTCCGTGCCAAGTGCACAAACATTTGTCGTTTTTTTGCATTTTAAGGCGACAGTCAGTCAGCCAGTCAGGCAAAAGTGAGTAGATTTGGAAAAAAGGCGAGATGCTGCAAAACAGAAAGTGTAAAAACCATTAACAGAGCAAGCTCTTTGAGAAATCGGGCAAACGCAAGCTCCTTTAGAAGCAGAACAGACAAAAAAGTCCACTTTCCCCCAAAAAGCGTCTGTATTCAGCCGAAGGAGTAGAAAGACACTTTTTGACCCTCCTGCTTTTAAGGCTTTGCAGATCGTCGCTACGATCAGATGAAAGTTTGGCGGTGCTACCGGTGACAGTGCGTGCGGAGCTGTCATCTTTTGGATTCGTTGCCCGCCTTAGCAACCAGAAATTTGGCACTAGAAAAACAAAAAAATATTGTAGATTAAGACTTATGGCCTTTATTAAACTTTGGTCTTGTGTTGATTTGATGTGAAGAAAAACGGCGATAATGTAAAAAAAAAAATACTGCAGCCTAAAGAAAATTATACATAACACATAACATCTTTAAGTTAATTTTTATTAGTTATCTCATGTCTTGATCGAGTATATTGGAGAGTTGAAGTGTTTGAGAGAGTACTTTATTAGCACTTCCCAGTAATGTAGGAATTGACCGATGATAAATGACCTTTACAAGGAGTCGTGGATAGCTCTTCACGTCAGTTGCTTAAAGCGCACATCAAACCACTCAGGCTTTCAGTGCCAATCTTTTGCAGCAGAACGACGATTGTTTTAGCTGTGGGGGTAACTGGACGAAATCTCCAGTTGTTGCCAAATTTTTTCACCGCCTTGGTGGCATAGCATTCTAATCCCAACACACTGGTTAACAGCGCATTGTCCCTCCCATGCGCATTCGTAAGGAAGCCCTGTTATAACCTCTACGTTGGTCAACTTTTTTAGGAAGAAACGCAACACTACCCTTTCAAAATAAGGGGTTGTTTCTCCTATCCTTGCGTAAGCGTCACATTTATTAATAACTTTGTCCCTTCATTAAACTACACCATTGTTATTCTGCGAATAGTTGAAAAATTAATAAAATTTTAACAAGTAATTCACTAGTTGTAAATTGAGCAATGACATAAGACTCAAATAAATATCAAAACAATTAGTGGGTTATGTATAGCTTTTATTTTTGGTCCATCAGTTAAACGAATGAGATGATAATAAACTGCATAAGGACAAAGTTCTTTCAACACCTTCAAATTACAAGTCTATCACTTCAATATCTTCCCAAGAGAATTTATATCACTGAATAAATATGCTGACTCCGCTAGAACTGCAAATGTTTATGTATAATAAAGACAAAAAGAATGTAAACTAATTTAATGACATTAAAGTTATAGTAAACGTCCTGGTTTACTAACTGGTTAAGGTTGCAAGCAGATCAGAATAAGTGAAATTGCCTGATTTTCTTTACAGTTAAGTGAGGAACATTCTCCTAGTACTGAATTAAAAGAATATTGCTATCAAGTACTCTCCTTCCTATCTTTACGCTTTTGGCTCCAAACATTCGCCCTTTTTGAATGTAGACAAGGTGTGACTTCAACAGGTAGCAGGTGGGCCTCTTCATTCAAAGCCCACTGTTCAAATCACAGCTAGACAATATGGTTAACCCCGTTTACTTAGCTGTATTTAAGATAGAAAATAAGTAAGGTCGTGTGATGAAAAAGGGTTTCTAAATGTAGTCATTACAAGACAAGGCGGACTTAATGAGCAGCTGCCTCAATTTGTCGCGAATGAAGAAAGGTAGGGGACGATAAAAAGACGACGTGACAGCCCTACTCCTTCCCACGCCTCCCCCACACTTCGCAAAAAATCCCTTATTTCAAAAGTATTTACACTATATGTTGCAGTGAAGACGTGAGGAGAAGGAGTAGACCCTACCACCTTCGATGAGAACAAAGGTAGATAAGGGACCACGTGGCCCCAGCATGGACATTGAACTCTGGTTGTTTTACCACTTCATCCGATAAAATAAAGGAACCGAATTTTATTTTCAATGCCAAACCATTTCATTTGTCAAAATTCGTTCCCATATTAAGGCTTAACATAGAGGTGAGGAAAATTGTTGGTTTTATTTCTGTTGAAAATCAAAAAAATAACATTAACGGCCCTTTTGTTGCAGATTTCCGCGACTTAATATTACCCAAAAATTCACGCGTTTCTGTTCAAGCACTTACAAAACTGCTTAGTAAACCGATGCAAAACACTTTTGAGACAAATATTTAGGCATATTTGTGAAATGGATTCGTGCATTTCAAGAGGAAATAGTCTTTCTTTTATCCAAATTATTAAGCAAAATGACTTGTCTGTAACTCAGGAGATCATAGAGATAAATCAAGTGTAAATATTTTGTCAATGATCCTTCCAGGTGGGATTACTTCTAACAAAGTTTTATAACAGGAGGCTAAAACTCCTTTAATTGTCTCCATTTAATAGCTTTAGAATTTGTTGATGCAATGACAAACGGGAAATTGCGATGGATTCCACAAAAAGAAGAAAAACTTTGTGCTCTACGCACGTAGTAAAGCACTTCAACGTTATTTCGACCAACAGCAATATTCCACAGGTGCTAAATTTGCTGAGTTCCAACCCTTTTACCAATTGTATGTGGCTTCGAATGCGACCCACTTATGTACTCTATTATCAAACAAATAGAACCCTTTATTAAATCCTAACTAATTCGACACAACACTCCAGTGGTAATCATTCCCCTCTCTTGCTCCAATCCCCGAATAAACCGACACGCCGTCTTCTATTCTTTCCAACTCTCTCCTCTGTGTAGTGCAGGTATCAAATGCCAAAAGAAGAGAAGGGGGAAATGGACAGAGAGAATCGGGTGTTAGAGAATCACCTTCCACGTCTTTTTTTTTTCGATAAATGTTAAGCAATAATATCACCCTATTCGTGCATCTTAGGGGCCATTAACGAAGTGTTGAAATGCTGAGCCTTGAAAAATGATGACGTTTCCTCTCTCGCAACAACAATTCACCCCTCCCTAAAGCCATTCATCACTGCAGCTTCTTTTTTTAACCCTGCTACTGTTGTGTTACAGCAGCAGCAGCAGAAGCGGCAGTGACTTCTCCCTTCTTTAAAACAATGAGGAGGAGAGAGCGAGAAAATTTTTAATGGAGCAACGAAAGTTGCTGTTAGTGTTGTGATTTAGTCACGCATTAACACTCGGGCCATTAACAAACTAAATAATTAAATCGCCTAATAGGCTTCTATTGTAGTCCTGAATGCGGTGCTCCTTCTATTAGCTATTGCGTTGGGCTAGCCACTGTTGGGAGTGTTCTGCAAACTCTAAGGAGGTCATTTAATTTTTGATATTTGCGCATAATATACTTTCCCTGATTACAAAATTGTCTTGAAATCGGGAGGAATATTTAACTACTCGATTCCCTCAAATAGAGTGTCTGATCACTCTCGAGAAACATTTTTGCTACGAGAGCGGGATTAGAAGGCTATATTCGACTATCTTCCTCAAAAAATCTTCACTTTCGAAAGCCAAAATATAACAGCTTTAGTAACAGTTTTCTTCCCCTTTAAACCTTAACCCAAAATAAACGCTTCATTAGGGCAAAAATTAAATTTGCGCCAAAAATCCCTTAGCCACCGCCAGTAGCAGCGGCGGCAGTGACGACAAGCGCGTACAGCGCCCGTTCCTTTTTTCACAATAATATGCAAGTGAGCATGTACCCACTGCCTCTCCCTATCCTTCAGCTTGCAACGGTGCGTGTGTGCTAGTGAAGAAGGGAGGAGGAAATTGAGCTGAGTTTAGACTGCCCCAACCCCCCCCTCTCCCTCGCAGAAGCAGCGGCAGAAGCAGCAGCACTAGTGGCGCGTTAGCAGCAGGCAAGCGCGCACGCGCAAATTTTTTGTAATGCCGCTCTGCTAAAGTTGAGATTTTCTCGTCCCTCTCTGCCTCCATGCCTCCCACTCTTTCTCTCTCTAATACTTCCCCTAAGGCGACGATTGCTAAGAGTACTGCGCCATTTGGGAAAGGTCCAACACAAGATGCCAAAGCTGAGCTAAGAAGCATTGTGATTGTGGAAGAAGATTGACAAAAACCGGAGTATCGAAAGCAAATTTAAACATTTTGTATTTTTAGATATTTGCGATACTGTACAATAACACGAAATCTCTTTATTTGAAAATAATTATAGCCTTCATATGAAAGTTGTCATGGTGTATTACCTGTGAAAGAGGTTTTTGGATCTTTCGCAAGGCAGCAGCTGTTTCCTTTTTTGAGGCAATTTGTAAGAACCTCCAAACCATGAGTCACAGAGGTAAAATAAACATAAAATGAGATCTTTAAAGCAATTTGTAATTAATTTATTAGTTTCGCTTAGTAAGGGCACGTCAGAGTTCGGGCACTGTGTACGGTGCATGGCAATATGTATGATGAATTCAAATGAAACTAATTTGGGATCAAACATACATATTGATAACATTGTCTTTAAAATTATCTTATTAAGCAGCATGAAATGCTAAACAAAGTATTCAAAAAACTATTACTTTTCATATCTTAAGATTAATTTTTTTGGCACAGGTTGTGCATGAAATCCCGGAATTTTTCGTTGGCTTTCGTTGACATTTAGCGTCACAAAATGAAATAGCACTGGCCCTCAGCGTAAGCTGATTATTCTTTTATATAATACTTTGACTATTTGCTTAACTCTAGGCACTTGAGGCTCCGCCATAGGACCTTCGCTGGGAGGCTCGGCCGCTGGTTCCAATCGGTAGCCTTCCCTTCACCTATTCTGTAAGGCTCTAGCACCTATTCTTCTCTGGTATTTTGTCTTTTTACGTCTTCAAGGAAGTCTTGGAGTGCTAAGTTTATTCATTGCAAAAACAGGAAATTTTACAAGATAAGTGGGAGCATGGGTTTCCTGCTACTTGCATTCAAAGACAGTGAGGATAAGGGTGGGATTTAATACATAATCATCCACTAAGTTACAAACAAACAATCCTTTATGAATTTTTAAAAAAAGATGACGTTTTGTTAACTGTTAAGGAGCATTTAATTGGCCTGACTAATGTGGGAACTATTCATAGCTTTCGGTTGCCTTTAGTCAAAGTAAGCGGGTATAAATCAAGTGGCTTCAATCATTCGGAGGAGGTTCTGTTTTCAACCACATTGCACATACCATGTTAAGGATCTGGAAATTTCCCAAAGTCAAAGCAAATCCTGAGTCCAAAAATTATAATATAATTTGGTTTAAAATTGCAAATTGGCAAGCCGAGTTTTGGGTAAAATTACTAAGACGTTTCGTAAGAGGCTTAAACGTGATCGCAGAAAGGTGTTTTAACATTATTTAATCAAAATATTTTTCTGATCGCAAACTGTACCAAAGCGGGCCGTTTTAAAGGGAACTTAGTGGAGAATCTGCGGCATAAATTTTGCTTAAATTGCTCACTTCATGTCCTGAGAACAAGATCTACATTGAATATTAAATCACTTTGTACTTGATTCGTGACATTCTTTGGATACTAGGAGTAGGCCTTTGGCGACTTTTTGCAATGCTCTGATGGTTTGTTTGACGCCTTGTTTTGGTTCCATGGGCAATGAAGTCTCCGCGATTATACTTCCGCCAATCGACATGGTCTCAAGGTTATGCCAGAAGCCCTCCCAGCCCTTCTCTAGGTGGGCAATGCATATTCAGTCCAAGTATTATGCCTTCTTTCGTATTCAGGAATGACTCGATTCCCTAGGCGCTAAGGAAGGTGTGCGAATCTGCTTATGCACGCATTTACGTTGAAATTTACTAAATAAGATCGAAAGCCTTTCTTTTCAAAACAAAAACCTACGAAAGACAACTTAAAAGCTCTTTTGCCGAAAAAAACTGCAGATTTTTTAATTGAGCAGTAAGATGTGCTCAGAAATGAGGATTTCTTTGGTCTTTTATGAAGCGGTTGATGCTCAGCTCAGATTGTATAAGATTTGAGAATGAATTTAGAAATGAATACTCAGTATTATTTGAGCAATTAATGTATTTACTTTTATTCAGTCAAAGTGCATTTAGTTAAATCATGTAAGGAATTTACTGTGTGTTCTCTCTTTAACAATGATTGTGCCAACTGGTGGTTTGTGGAAGGATGAATTTTTAACTAAAAGTAAAGTGTTTAGGAAAAACGCTTCTTTAGTGCAGTGCACCATTTAATTACCAACTAAAGAGGCGTGTTGTGAATCTACAAGAGATTGTGTTAGATAAAAAGGTGATTCGGCTGCGATTGCTCCTTTAACTCTTCATTTTGGCTGTGCGAATACTCAAGGCGCCGCAGATTGGACATTTGCTGGACCACGCCGGTGACAACCCAGCCTTACTTTTCTGCCGTGGCATTACGACTCATTTCGTCCCTAAAGTAGTCTAGGGGGCTACTAATTTAGAGCAATAATTCCTAATGTCAAGTCATTCAAACTTAAATATACTTGAAAGAAGTCTGTTAAAAAAAATAATCCACTCACTTAAAAAATTCATATAAAACTTTTACATATATTTGATCAAAGACGTGTGAACTCTCCACACTGCTTGGAAAATGGAGTAGACCTTTTTGAGCACTTAACAAGTAGTAAAATGTCTCGTAAAATTCACCTTTGATGGATTATTGAAGCAGATCAAAAATGTGATCTAAAGATAGAGATTGAAAATGAGGCACTAAAAACTCCAGTCGTTGGCTTAAAGTGGTTGGAGCCTGTAACGTATGGTAGATTTCACAGTCAAAGCTAAGTGTCTTATCCCGGGAGGACTACACCCGGTGGAGAGTAACATGCAAAACGACCTATTATCTGTAAAGTCTATTTTTT